CCTATTAGGCTTGGTCCATTTTGCTTTTCCACTACAGGGTTCTACCCTCTATGTATTTTTCCTCTACAGTAATCCAGAATGGCAACACTAATCTATGTTGATAAGGAGAATGGAGAACCGGGCTCTCATGTGGCACCTAAGGACAGGCTGAAGTGTAAGTCTACTTGATTCTGATGGGCATGTAGGGTTTCTGTGAATAAAGTTTTCACTGAAGAGCTTGGGCTTTGGAAATTGTATAAGGTGTGTGTTCTTTAAAAAATGTGTGTGTATCCTGATGGTTTACTTAGCAAATTCTAGGGGATCTGCAAAGATGCTGAGACAATTAATAGCTTCAGCAAAATCAGAGGCTACAACAATAAAACTCTCAAAAATCAACCACATTTGTATATAATAATGACAGAATCCAAGATGTAATAATAAAAAATGCATAAAATACCTGGGAATGAGTTCACCAGATCCTATAAAATACTTGTATAGATTCAGTTACAAAATACTTGTTGTTAAAGAAATAAAGGACTTTTTAAATGGCTGGAGAAGCATTCACTGCTCATGTCTGGGCCATGCCAATATAATAAAAATGATAATATTACCAAGATAAATTTATACTTTTAATGCTATGTCAATCAGATTGCCAGAAGGATACTTTGCAAAACTTGACAAAATAAAAACAATTCATTTGGGAAAAAAAATATCTAGAATATCAAGGGAAAAAATGAAAAGAGGTAGGGAATGAAGGGGGAATGGTACTTCTAAAGCTCAAATTATATCATAAAGTGGCAGCCATCAAAACGACAATGGATTATGTGATATTGGTAAAAGAAAGAAAGAAAGAAAGATAATATGTATCCTTTTCTTTGGTGTGGATTCTCTGTTGCTTCTATTCTAATCAGTACCAGTAATAGACTCTCTGATTCCCCTGGGTGAGGATCTTCCCTAATTGGAATTTATTTATTTTTTTTGGGTAGATATCTAAATAGGGCCTAAAATTGCTTTTTTGAACAAGGACTTTAATAAGTTTAAATAACATTACATAACCCTACTGATCATAACATGTTCATACAGATACCTTGGGATCTATACCTTCTTATTGTAGTGATGTATTGTTCTAAGTAATATGTTTTTAGAAATATCTTTAAATGTATCTCTTTATATTTAGCTCTTTCCTGAGGCTTATTATATACACAATTTGGGGCATTCATTATAAAATAATCATTGTGCTTGGATTAATCAAGCACCATTATGATAAGTCACTTATTGGGACAACTGTATGAAGAGGTGGAAGTCTTTTGAGTTTTGGCATTCTGAAATAATCCCAAAGCAGTGCTGTCAGGAACACCATTGCAGGGCACTGGCAAGGGTGTATGTACGGAGTGGGTTTTATGTATGGGGCAGTAGCATGGCTTGGTGATGTGGTGCAGCTGATCCAGGGAGGGCAGTTCTGATAATTTTTTTTCCCCGCAGCAATCAAAGCCTTATCTGGAAGAGCTCAGATTTCAACTCCCAAGGCTGGCAAAGTGTTTACTGCAACTCCAGCTTTATCAAAATCTGTCAGAAAGGCTTTGGGGCCTGTCAACAGGACAACAGAAAAGGAAAACTTGGTGGGGAAGAGAAAAGAACCCCTCAAACAGAAAGGGCAAAACTTCACTGCCAAAAAGGTGAGATGATGGACTTTTTGTATTTCAAGATGACATTCCTTTAGGCCTCTGTGAGAATTGGGATTGGGGGACCTGAGGCTTTCATCAACTCATCATGTGATGGTCACATTCTATTTATGCTTTTTATTGCTTATTTTTTAGCTAACTGTTAATGCTTGGTGATTTTTTGAAAAAATTTTTTTTTCATCCCTTTTGTTCTTATATCACCTATATTTCCCTCTGTATACCTCCATCAAGCTCCCTTAAGATCTATCCCTTGTTATGAAGAAAGAAGGGGGGAAAAGTCCAACAAAAATAAACATTGGAAAAAATCTAATATTATATATGCAGTATTCCTCACTTCTCTAAAAAAGTAGGATGAGGTTCCTTCCCATGTCTCCTTTGGGACCAAACTTGGTCATGCTAATTTCTTAAATTTCAGTTTTGATTACTTTCTTGTTTTTCTTTCCATTTATATTGTAACCATTGTGTATATTGTTTTCCTGGTTCTGCCTACTTCATTTTGCATCAATTCTCATATCTTTTCATGCTTCTCTACATTCGTGATTTCTTATTTACAGTATAGTAATATTCCATTAGTCAGGTACTACAATTTATTTAGCCATTCCCCCACTTGATAGGAATCTGCCTACTTTCTCTATAGTCAATCAATAAGCGTATTTTAAGTGCTTATCACTTGTTGGGCACTGTGCTAAGCACTGTGTATAAAAAGGGCAAAAACATTATCCTTATCCTCTAGGACTGTGTTGTATACAAGATAAATACAGTGTAAATGTGAGAGAGTCTTGGAGAGAAGTCAAAGCAGAGACTGGGAAAGGCATCTAACTGAGTGGAATCTGAGCCAAATCTTGAAGGCAGCCAGGAGGCATGGGTGAGGAGGGAGAGCATTCCAGGGGTGGGTATCAAATTGAGTAGGGGAGTTGTTGCATGGTCAGATCTGTGTTGAGTGTAGGATGGATTGGAGTAGGGGCAGGAAGACCAGCCAGCAGGCTCTTTCAGTAGTCCAGGTGTGAGATGCTGAGGGCCTGTGTCAGGTAACAGCTGTGAGTGGAGAGACAGGGATGTAGATGAGAGGTGTGGTGAAGGTAGAAGTGACAGGAAGCCATGGCAACAGATTGGACATGTGGAGTGAATGTGAGAAAGAGTTGAGGATGAAACTGAGGTGGCAGACTTGGTTTGACCAGCAGGATAGCGGGTGCCTTCGACAGGAATGGAGAAGTTAGGAGGAAGGGAGGGTTTGGGAGGAAAGATGAAAAGCTTTGTTTTGGACATTTTGAGTTTCTCCATGGGACATTTTGTTTGAGATGTCTAGTAGGCAGTTGATGATGTGTGAGATTGTAGCTTAGGAGGGGACTTAGGGCTGGATAAAAAGATCTGAAAATCACCTGGAGAGAGAAGATAATTGAATCCTTAGGAACTGATCCGGTCACCAAGTGAAATAGTATAATGGTATTGAAGGAAAAGCGAGCCCAAGACAGACCCGTGGGGGATGCCCATGATCAGTGGCCGTGACTTGAATGAAGATCTAGCAAAGGAGCCATTAGAAAGGTTGGAAAAGAAGCTAGAGAAAGTAGTGTCATAAAAACCTAGAGAATCAGTCAAAAAGAGGAGGGTGAGTGACATTGTCAAAGGCTATCAAGAGGTCAAGAAGGATGAGAAATGAGAAATTTGGCAATTAAGAGATCGTGAATAACGAAACAGTGTTTTCATTTGAATGAAGTCAGAAGATTTAGAAGAGAGAGAGGAGAGGAAATGGAGTCACAGATAGTGGGAATGATATAGGGGGCAACCAGCTGGAGAAGACAAGATGGAATCAAGGGTGTATATGGAGGAGCTTTGCCTTGCCTTGGCAAGGAGAAGGGGCCACCTCTTCAGTTGGGATATGTGAAGGTAGTAGGAGAAGATATCTGAGTGATGTGAAGTGAGATAGGGAGAAGAGGGAGCTCGTGGTGAATGACCTTGATTTTTTTTCAGTGAAGTAAGAGGCAAGGTCCTCAGCTGAGAGAGCAGGGAGACGGGATGCCATGGGGAGGAAAGATTTGGAAGAGACACTATGGTGAGTGGAATACTGAGTCAGTTAGGGAGGTATAAAAGTATGATCTTACCGCCGCGAAGGCCTAGATGAGACTATGCAATGTGTGTTTGTGGTGGATCCAGGCAACATGGTCTTCTCTAATTCCATTTGGCAGTATATGAATAAGAGTGAAGGCAGTAAATGGTAGGTCATGCAAGGCTGGGGCTTGTAAAGGCATGATCAGCCATAGGATAGGGGGCTGAGAGATTCTGGTGTGGAGTTGAGCTGATTCACCAAGGGAAGGAAAGAAGGAGAGTGTAGCTAGCAAAGGGATAGTGGCCTAGGAAAGAGCTGAGGGATAGAAGGATTAAAGGTCACAGTGAGGATGAAGTTAGGGTTAGGAGCCATAAAGCAGAGGGAAATGGAATGATAAAAGATTACAGTCAGATAAAAGACTTCAAGAGTTCATTTGAAATATTCTTACACCTTCCTCCCTTTCCTGCTTGAAATGTACTCAAAAAATGCAAACTCATTTTAATATTAACCTAAGCAAAATATAATTAGTATGATAAATCTGCTAGAAAATCACAAATGTATTTAAAAGTCAACTTTTGGTATTATCTGTTATTTTAGATTATTCATGCCAGTGTTCTCTCTCCATTAGTGCAGATAATTGAATTGACTGTTTTTTAATTGAATTCAGTCTGCATTCCTAGTAAGATAAATTGATACTTACCAGTAAAAACTAAGGGCTCAGTATTTTTTGTTCTTAGTAAGGTTTGAGCCATGCTATCAGAACAGTGTGCTGAGTTGTATCTTTGAATTATAATGACGTATAAAGAAGCTAGAATTGTTTTAAAGTTAGCATAAAGTTTTTTTTAACTATAAGCTTGGTAACTTAGTCATAATAATTAAAACTAGTAATTATCTTATGTATGAGATTAGTTGGTAAGTGTTGTCTAATCTCACTAATTTTATATATTTTCTTCTTAAGGTTACTGAAAAGATTCCCACAGAAAAAACCTCGGTTCCGTTCCCAAATGAAACATGTCCAGAAATAGAAAATTTTTTTCCCTTCAACCCACTAGGTAGTATGCATTCTTTGTTATCTAACGTTTTTTATGAGTTTAACTGTGAGTCACCTCCTAGATATAGATGTGACCCAAGGCTTGCCCCATTTTAAGGTCTTTTATTTGTTTATTCAACAAATGTATTGGGTGCCTACTATGTATAAGGCATGGTTGCTGGCTATATGTAACTCTGCCTTCTCCTCTGCTCCCCAGGACATTCCCAGTTTAGTCTAGTAAGGAAGACAAAGCAGTATGTGACAATTCAGTACCTGTTTTTATGTTTTAGTTTTGGTCTCTGAGAATAACACAACCAAAGCACAACAGGAGTTCAAAAGAGGGAAAGATTTCAGCTCACTCACAAGAATGCTTTTGAGGCATTCTAATAAATAGAGGTCCTTCCGGGAGATTTGGAGGAAGCATGCTACTTCTGGTTCACTGGTAGATCAAGAAGCCCATTGAGTCTTCCTAAGAGACTGTCTCTGGATCTGTGTATGCATCAGACTAAGGATGCTGGAGGAGAGTGTGATCCTTTCAGTCCTTTTTGAGAAGGTTCTTTGAATTCTTGGGATGGAAGAAGTCTAAAATCACTTGATTCAACTTAGCAGATATTTGATGAAGGTCTTCCTATGTGCAAGACAATATACTTTATCTAAATGATAGACTTCATTTTCTTTTATTTGTAACAATTTTTTCTTAGTTAAAAAAAAAGTAAGGTCTTAATGTAGGAAAAACACATTTAGCTTTTAAGAAGGGAGTTGAAATAGCTTTTGAATTAATGGATGGGCTTATCATTATAAACAGAATTTGAGAGTTTTGATGTTCCTGAAGAACACCAGCTTGCAAACCTGCCGCTGACTGGTGTCCCCCTCCTGATGCTTGAGCAGGAGAAGTCACTTGAAAGGCTTGTAGATCTTCCACCCTCACCGGTGCTGATGCCTTCCATGACGTGGGAGTCTGGTAAGTTAGGAGATTTGATTTCCAACCCCCCCCCCAATCCCCACACACACTTTTCCCTTCTTTTTCACCACTTAGGGATAGTTAGAGATTAGATGTTCCAGTTTCAAGGCACTTCCTGTTGCCTGCAGCCGAGGGAGAAAGCTGTATGTTACAAGTCACATCTTTAGGAAATGATGTAGTCTGACAAAAACAAACAGCTATTGTCAGTAGGGAATGACTTTCCATTTCCTCAAGTACAAGCTGCTAGATTAAAAAAGGTAAGCCCTTTTGGCAACTCTGAATTCAAGCTCAAAATCATGAGTGGTATCTTTAGGTAAAATCAAACGAGAAAGCAGCCCCTGATCCTAATTTTTTTTCTTGGATGTCAGCAATTCATGGGACAAATTCTAAGGGTACTTGGCTGGGATGAGAGAATTTTCAAGTTTATTTAAAAAGCTAATAGAAGAAAAGGCCTCTCTTGGCAGTAGCAAAGAATGACATACAAAGTGGTGATCTTTCCTTATTTTAGAAAACTGAAGACATCTCGATGGCTCAAAGCTATTTTCTAGCTGTAATGAGTATTTTCAGGTGCCTGCTGTTATTATCCTGTTCCATTGCCTTCTTGTGGGGACAAGGGATCACGAGCCTGGAGTTTGAAGTCCCACTTTTTCTACCTTCTTAGCAGCTGAGTGACCTTGGGCAAGTCACTTAAGTGTCTCATTTTCCTTGTTTTGTAAAATGAGAGGGTTGAACTTCAAGGGCATCTAAGGTTCCTTCACTCCCACAGCCTGATTGTTGGTTTTACTGGTTGGGCACCAGCTGTGACAGGTTTTCATAAGATTAGTGCCACGTTGACAGTTTGAGGACTGGCCTGCAGAGAGGATTATCACCTGAAGGCTGGTTGCCAGGTGCCGAATCAAATTATGAATGAACAAACAAATCCTTGCTATAGCAACATGTAAAGATTGTCTTCCTAAGGTATGGCAAAGTGTGTCAGTGGAGAGAGCGCTGGTGAAGATCAGAAACCTGGAAATATTTTTCAGTCCTGCAGTTTTAATATTGCTGATCAGGATAAACCCACCTACTTGATAGGACAAAGGGGAATACAATTCAACTTTAGGAGCAGGGTAGTATAAGTGCTTCAGGAGGACTTTAAGGCTGACATAGGCTAGAAGTAGGCTCCACCGTGATCAGGATCAAAAAGTCTGAGGTCATAGCTTGACATTCAGGTCAGGATTGAGATTCAGCATCCTTACTTAGTGTCGCAGCAGGGCTATGATTTGTGAAGCCTTGTCAGAGATATACAAGACTCCTTAACTGTCATCTTTCTCTCCTAGATCTGTTGGAATCAACTTCGAGCCTTCTGTCAACTGTGGATGAGATTGACTTGCCACCTGTGTGTTATGACTTCCCTATTTAAATGTCTTTTTATTTTATGGTGTAGTTATATCATTTTTGTATTAATAAAGTGATTATGTAGTAACTGTATTTGGGGCTGTGTTATTCAGGCAGTTTCATCATCTATGTTTTATGTTAAGTAGTTTATAAAACTAATTAGAATCATAGACAAAATATCCCTTCTAATGCTAACCTAGTAAAAGCTCCATCCCCCTTTTCTTCCTCCCCTCCCGTTGAATGAACACACTTTTAGAGAGGAGGGAACTGAGGCTCATCTGTGAGACTGTCACTTGTCAAATAGTGACAAAATGAAACTTACTCCTAGGTCAGACTGAGAATTAAGAGCCTTTTTTATTACAGCATGCTTCCTTACTGATTAATTTATGGAGACATTTTCCTCTACCAGAAAGAGCTTCATTTGTTGAGTTAGTCCAAGGGCTACTGGGATTGAGGATGAGGCAACGTGAAGATTTAAAATTACCGACCAAGCCCGGTTTGGAAGGGGGCACATCTTCTCTTAGAAGAGTAGCATTCTTCCTCTTTGTGCTCTTGCATCTCTCATGGATGACATTGCTTGTTTTTCTTTAGTTAGCCGAGTAATAGCTATGAGAAAGATGCTGAGGCTAGTGATAGCTCTTACTTAAAGAAAGGCTATTGTCTAAATCGGCTACTTCTTAGAAAGAAAATGTATACATACTTTCATTAATTTTACTCAGTTTGTCTAAGGATTTCGTACTCATACAATGTCAGGGGACTTTTGCCTATGATCTGCAAATCTATAAAAATCTTGGCCTATATTCCTGTTGGTGTTGGAGATGCTATGTATAATTCATTATAGGAAATATGTGCTTCTTAGATGCATTCTCTACCCTGGGAATTGTGGGAATTGATTGAACCACACTGACTTCATCTTGTGACTCAATTCTGGATCTAGCTCAATTCCTTTCCTATTTAATTATGGGTCTAGTCTAGTTTCTGTTTTCTGAAAAAAAGAATTACGGGAATTATGAGAAAACAATATTGCATTGTTTGAACTTAGCCCTGCATGACTGGGAAGCTGGACTACCTCCACCTGTTACTTTGTTGTCCGTGAGGTTTTCTTGGCAAAGATACTGGAGTGGCTTGCCATTTCTTTCTCCAGTATGTCCCCATTTTACAGATGGGGAACTGAGGCAAATAGGGGTTAAGTAACCTGCCCAGGGTCACACAGGTAGTGTCAGACCCAGATTTGATCTCAGGCCTAGTGCTCTATCCACTGTACTACCTAGCTGCCCACCTGTTGCTTAGATACCCTTAACTAAGGATCTAGGTTATGCTGAGCAGAAATCTAGTCAGATCTGAAGACTGATGAAAGGAGTTTTCTCATGATTATGCATCTAAAGGAACCCATAGGTCTCATCTGAAAACTGGCCCCTTACTGGTCAGTCAGTTAACTGTTCCATTGTTTCTCTGATCGAATATAGACACTTGTGAGTAAAGAGAGGGGATGCCCCCTTTTCTAATTTCAGGGAATTGTACCTGTTCGCTCTCCTCCTCCAAACTTGGAAAGCCCCTAATCTTCTATCCTGGTTTATATTCTGTTAATTGTTGTCTTTTAATGCATAAAAATCTGTCTAACCTCGTATTCAGGGTCCAGTGCCAAGCTGAAGAGGCGTGGTCTTGATTTGTTATGCAGTTGGCATTCATTGCTTAATAAACAAATATGCTCGGAAGCTCAAACCTTTGTTTCCTCGGTGCAGGTTTTACCCATCACACAACTTATGGGGAAGCTATGCATATTAGAAACTTTTCCTCTAAGAAAAATAGTATCCATGGGGCTGTGGAGAAGAGGTTTAAGAGTATGTAGAAGACCTTTTTTACAATGCTAGTCTGTAGTGCTGATGGAGTAGGAAGTTAAAGAAAAATTACTATAAAGTATGTTGGCCCTTGGCCAATCTATTTGTTAATACCTTACAGCCATAGATAGTGATTGCTTGTAGTTCACACTGATTTGGAATTTTCCACTGTCCATCAGGAGAAGATAAATCAGCTCATTTTGTAATCCTTGAGGATAGTAAAAGGATCCCTTGGAAGTGGGAAGGAATTCTGAAATATGGTATCTCAAAAGTCATAGAGCAATTTGAAGCTATTAAATACTCAGACTTTTGGGATACCTTATATACGTCAGGATAGCTGTTGGGAAGGTGAAATTAAATGAGAAGGCTAAGAAGCATTTCTTAACCCTTTCCTACCCCCCCCCAACCTCTAAGTGACTTTGGAATAGAGTCTCATAAACCATAGGATCATTAGTGTTTCTCAAAGCAAAAACATTTTCCATAGTTCTTATTCCCTAAAATAGCCTAACATATTTGAGAGATTTTTTTTTGTTTTTTTTGTGAGTAGCACCACAACTTTATGAAGCATTATGAGCCATTAATCTCTCAAATGTCTAGCTACTACATTGTGTTCGTCAGAAGCTGACATATACCTGAGCTCTTCCAGTCAAGGGTTATTAGCAGAACAAAATTAAGTTGTTTTATCTATACTAGGGGGTGGGTAGGAACTACCAGTCACTTTCTTTTTTTTCTTTGTGAGGCAATCAGGGTTAAGTGACTTGCCCAGGGTCACACACCTAGAAAGTGTCAAGTGTCTGAGGTCGAATTTAAACTCAGGTCCTCCTGACTCCAAAGCTGGAGCTCTTTCCACTGTGCCACCTAGCTGCCCCTCTCTCTTGTTTTTGAGACTGAAGTAGTTCTGACTTTTTACTGTTGCTAGTCAAATCATATTGTATTATCACTTTTTAAAAACAATTTTCTATTAACATCAATCATTTCTATCTTGAGGAAATTATTACACTTTACATGCGCAAAGAAAGTGTGATTTCATCAGCAAGGAAACCTTCCACCAACAAAGATCTGCGTTGCAAGCCATCTGTCATTTATTCTGGCTTGGAGAGGTTAGGGGGCCACCAGGTTTGCAGAGAGGATTTGAATTTAGGTAATCCTGATTCCAAGTCCAACCCTATAGACTACTGCCCCAAGCTTCCTCTATCTCCCTTTCTAGTTTACATGCAATTCAGATCTTAATTCAACACATACCTATTGAGCCTCTACTAGGTACAAGGTGCTACACTCAGTACTGGGGATAGAAACTGAAAAAGAGCGATGGCCTCTGTCCTCAAGGACCTTATATTTTATTGGGAGTGGGGCAGGTAAGTCTGTAGGTTAGGGCCAGAAGGCGCAAAGGAGAAAGTAGATACAACTCCCTGCGGGAGAAACCTGTCAGCTAGAGGGGTAATATTTATTGAATGAATGTTGAGTTCAGCTTTATCGTTGGGACAATGGTGTGAGTCATAGACCCCACTGGATGTAGTCCAGTCTGTTCTCCATGTTCCTGTGCTGAAGGACTGACCCATATAAATCAGTAACTGGGTTTCTGAAGTATAAGTACTCAAATAATGAAAATGTCTTTACTGGATCTTAAATGCCATTTTCATTAGTCTCACAGCTCAAAGCTTGGCTTATCTATCACCATTTGAGTCTGTTTAGGCCTCAACTTTAAGGAGAGAATTCAGCCTTTGTGTTTCATTACCAGTTCATACATGAGATGTAACGACAATGTTTGTTCCCATAAATTCGGAGCAAACAGCTAGAGAAGTAACGAAGTAAAACAGGATACAGTAGGTCTCCTCTTGTTTTGCTGACAGAAGTTAGTTACTTCTCTAGCTGTGTGAAGCCCCTCTAATATTTGTTGTTTTTCATTTTTGGCATTTTGTCAATCTGATGGGTGTGAACCTCAGTTGCTCTAGTTTGCATTTGCCTCGTGGTGATTTGGAGCTTTTTTTTTTTGTTAATGTATGGCTGTTGATACCTTGGATTTCTTCCCTGGAGAAATGACTGTTTTATAACTTTTGACCATTTTTCAAATGGAGAATGCAAGCTCTTCATTTTACTGTTGAAGAAACTGTGATCTAGAGAGTGGTAAATGCTGGAATTATTACCTAAATCCTCTGGTTCTAGGAGTGATGTTCTTTCCACTCTACCACACTCTTATATACCTGAACACAGAAGTATTTATTTTTCAAGTAAAAAAGAAATTCTTCCTGACAGCCCTTCTATCCATTCAGTTTCCATGACATTTAAAAAAAGCTGAATCCTCTTCAAAACTACTCTTATAGATTTCAGCGCACAAAGACTTTGAATGAATGTTATGTTTGGCTTTATCCTTGGGACAATGGTGTGAGTCAGAGATTCCACTGGATGTATTCCAATCGTTTTCCATATTCTTATGCTAAAGGACTGACACAGGGGTGGGGAACCCGTGGCCTCGAGGCCACATGTGGCCCTCTAGGTCCTCAAGTACGGTCCTTGGACTGAATCCAAAACAACGGCTACACTTGAGGACCTAGAGGGTCACATGTGGCCTCGAGGCCACGGGTTCCCCACCCCTGGACTGACCTATATAAATCAGTAACTGGAGTTCTGAAGTATAACACTCAAAAAATGCCAGTGTCTTTACTGGATCTTGCTAAGTCCCCCTACTTCTACAGATACGGTCAGGCTCGTGGAGTTAGGTTGGTAAAATTCATAACTAAAATTGAATTTTAATAACAGAGAGCTCGAGGAGGGAAGACATGGAGGAAACTGTTCTGCCATTCAGGGTAGTTCTTGGGAGACCTTCTGTGCCCTCTATATTATAGAGGTATTTTGGAATTAGGAGGACCTGAGTTCAAATCCTGAGTCAGGAAGTTACAAGCTCTCTAGAAACAGATTCTGGGTAATTTTCTTTACTTCTCTCAATTTCAGTTTCCTTCTGTCTAATAGCTCAGTGGGCAGAGCATTGGACTTGGAGTGAGGAAGACCTGAGTTCTAATTCTGACTCACATATTTACTAGCTGTGTGACCCTGGGCAAATCACTTGACTGGTCAGCCTCAGTTTCTTCATCTGTAAAATGATAATAATAGCATCTACTTCATGGTGGTGTTGTGAGGATCAAGTGAAATGGGATATGTAAAGTACTTTGTTAACCTTAAAGATCTATGTAGGTATTTGTTAGCTATCACCACCATGGCAACCCTCTGGTTTGTGGTATTTAAAGCCAGAAGGGACTTCAGAGTTCATCCAATTCAGCACCTTCATTTTACCGCTTCAAGAAGTTAAATGACTTTACCTGGGTCACACAGGCAATAAATCATAGACCTGGAATTCTAACTCAGGTGCAGTGTCCTTCCCCTCTCACCATCCTTCCTGTGCTTACACGAGGGGAAAGGGGAGGGGGGAGGGGGGAGAGGGGAGGAAAGGCAAAGGAATAACCATTTATTTAGTGCTTATTAGTGCCAGGCATTGTACTAGATACTTTACAATGGTTGACTCATTTAATCCTTACAGCATAGGTGCTATCTTTACCCCTACTTTACAGATGAGGAAACTGAGGCAATCAGAGGTTAAGTTATTTGCCAGTTTACCACAGCTAGTTAGTATCTGAGGCTAGATTTGAATTCAGGTCTTCCCTGTCTAGGCCCAGTGCTCTATTCACTGTGCCACTTAGCTGCTAAATATATTCCTTTTTGTGTGTGTGTGAAAATTTTTTATATTTTATTTTTTCTAATTACATGTACAAAATTTTTTCAACGTTTGTTTTTTAAAATTTTGAGGTGCAAATTCTCTCCCTTCTTCCCTTTCTTCTTCCCTCCTTGAGAAGGCAAGTAATTTGATATAGATTATACATGTACAGTCATGTAAAACATTGATTTATATCTATCACAGGAATGGAAAGCCCGAGAGCATTCAACAAATTACATTCATAATTTTCATTATTTCAAAATATTCAGCAAATTATAAAAAGCATTAGATTGAAAAAATATATGTTTCATTTAGATTAATCAAGCTCCTATAACTTACAGACTTTATTATTACCAGTAAAGGGAGACGTGAAAAAGAGTGAGTGAAATGGAAAGGGATTTAGGGAAAGGAACAGATGAATAGACAGAGGGAAAGATAAAGCTATATGTGCCACGCATTCATATACCATGTTATGTTTAGCCATTTCCTAGTTAATGGGCATCTACTTTGTTTCTAATTCTTTGCTATCACAAAAATACCATAAATATTTTAATGTTCATAGGAATTTTCTTCTTATCAATGACCTACTTGGGGTATAATATAAACTTAGTAATGGAATCTTGGGATTAAATTGTATAGTGATAAACACATATAATTGTATTTATTTATTTACATGTACTTTAGTAGATTGATCTCTAGCTATTTTATGCATTTTGTAGTTATTTTTAATGGGATTTCCCTTTCTATTTTTGTCTCTTGGATGTTGTTATTATTATATAGAAATGCAGTTGATTTTTGAGGGCTTATTTTGTAGCCTGCAACTTCATTGAAGCTGTTGTTGCAATTAGCACCTTTACTAATTCCCTAAAATTTTCTAAGTTATCATATGGTCAGCAAATAGGAATAGTTACAGCTCTTTTTTACCTTTCTTTATACCTTTAATTTCTTTCTCTCATCTTATTGCTATGGCTAACATTTCTATAACTATATCAAATAATAATGGGGAGAGCAGTATCTTTGCTTTATTCCCGTATTTATTGGGAAATTAAAAAAATTGCACATATCTATATCTATACCTATCTTGTACCAACCAAACCCTTTTCAGAGAAATTTGAAACAAAGATTTTTTTTTCTCATTCAACAGCTTTCCTTCTTAAGTGCCTTGATTTTGTTTGTGTGGAAGTTTGTGTTTCAGTTTCATGTAATCAGAGTTACCTGTTTTATTTTCTGTAATTCTATCACTTGAGGCAGCCACATGGTGTAGTGAATAGTGCCAGTGGGAAGTGCCAGCTTTGCAGTCAGGAGGACTTGAATTCAAATCCAGCCTCAGACACCTACTAGCTATATGATCTTGGATAAATCATTTAATCTTGTTTTTGCCTCCGTTTCCTCATCTGTAAAATGAGCAGGAGAAGGAAATGGCAGACCACTCATGTATTTTGCCAAGAAAACCCCAAATAGAGTTACAAAAAGTTAGACACAACTGATTGACAAAACAACAATAACAACAATTCTGTCTCTTATTTAATTTATGGAATAAAACAAGCATTTCTATAGCATAGCACAGTAAAAAAGATGATTGCACATGAAACTGCAAATCTGCTATGAAACTTGCTATTCCTTTCAAATAGACAACAAAATTATCATGTAAATTTCTTTTTTTTTCTTTTTTTTTTGTCTTTCCTCCCACCCCACCTCCACCCCAAGATGGCTACTGTTAGACATAAATGTGGCTGTGTGTGTATCTATCTATCTATCTATCTATCTATCTATCTATCTATCTATCTATCTATCCTTTCCATAAATGCAAATAGCATCTTTATTCATATGTCCTTTATAGTTAATTTGGGTATTTATAATAGACAAAATAACTTATTCCCTCAAAGTTGTTCTTAAAGCAATATTGCTGTTACTGTATACAATGTTCTCTTGGTCCTGTTCATTTCACTCTTCATTATTTCGTGCGAGCCTTTCCATGTTTTTCTAAAATCATTGAGCTCATCATTTCCTATTGCATTGTAGCATTCCATCACAATTGTATACCACAACTTGTTCAGCCATTCCCCTGCAATTTCCAGTTCTTTGTCACCACAAAGAGAGCTGCTATAAACATTTGAGAATATTTTCCTTTTTCTGTAGGTTTTTTTAAAAGCATAAAGTGTTGTGCTTTGTCAAAGGCTTTTCCCTTAGCTATTGAGATAATCATGCAATTTTGTCTGTTTCTGTTTTTCATGTAATTAATTATGTTGATTGTTTTCCTAACATTGAACCATTCTTGTATAAATCCAACTTGGTCATGATGAATGATTTCTTGGATAAATTGCTACAATTTGTTTGACAGGATTTTATTTAACAGTCTTGAGTTGATATTAATTAATGATATTGGGCTATAATTATTCTTCTATGAATTTACACTTCACTAGTTTAAATATTAGGACAATATTTGTCTCAGAAAAGGAATGTGACAGTGTCCTTTTTTTCCTCAGTTTTTGAGAATAATTTGTATAGTATTGAAACTAATTATTCTTTAAAAGTTTTATGGAATTCTCATGTGAATCCATCAGGATCAGGAGGTCTTTTTTTGTAGTTCTTTTACGGCTACTTCTATTTCCTTTTCTGAGAATGGTTTATTTAAGTTTTCTATTTGATCTGTTAGCTTGGGTGTTTTATATTTTTTGAAGGTATTTCTCTATTTCTTTTATGTTCTCAATTTTGTTAGCAAATTACTGTGCATGATAGGTTCTAATCTTTTTACTCTAATTTTGTTGTGATTTCACCTTGTTCATTTGCTATTTTGTTCATTTAATTTTCTACCTTCTTTTTAATCAGTTTGGTTAAAGGTTTATCAATTTTAACAGTCTCTTCAAAGAATCAGAGTTTAGTTTTATTCCTGTGGGTTTTAATTTCCACTTTATTTCAGCTCTAATTTTTTTCTTTTTTTACTTATTTTAGATTTGTTTATTTGTTGGCTTTCCAATTTTCTTTTTCTTTCCTTTCTTTCTTTCTTTCTTCTTCTTCTTCTTCTTCTTCTTCTTCTTCTTCTTCTTCTTCTTCTTCTTCTTCTTCTTCTTCTTCTTTTTTGCTAGGCAGGGGGGTTAAGTGTTAAGCCTAGCATCACACAGCTAGTAAGTGTCAGTGTCTGAGGCTGAATTTGAACTCAGGTCCTCCTGACTTCAGAGCCAGTGCCCAATTTTCAAAACTACACATTCAGTTCACTAATCCTCTTGTTTTCTATTTTGTTAATGTATGTTAGTAGTAGGGATATGATTTTCCCCTGAGGACTACTGTAGCTGCATCCCAGAAATTTTGGTATGCCATTTCATTATTATCATTTGATTTCACAAAATTATTAAATGTTTCTATTATTTGTCCTTTGGTCCACTCCTTATTTTAGCTATAATTTCTCTAGAAATTTGTTCAATTCTATATTTTCCCTTTTGTGTATCATTCTGTTAGACTTATCTAACTGAGAGAGGGAGATTGAAGTCTCCTGCCACCACTGTATTTCTATCTATCTCTTCTTGTATTTCAGTTAACTTTTCCTTTTTGAATTTATATTCTAAGGCATTGGAGCATATAAGTTCAATATTTATATTGTTCTATTGTCTATGGTTCCTTCAGCATAAGGTAGTTTCCTTGTTTATCTCTTTTTATGTTTTGAATGTTTGTTTCCATTTTATCTGATAGCATGATTCTCATGCTTGTTTTTTTATTTACCTGATTTTTTTTTTGATTCACCTAGTAAATTTTTTTTTTCTAGCCCTTCCTACTTATTCTATGTATGTCTGTTTTTTTAGGTGTGTTCTTATAAGTAACAGGTGGTGGAGTGTTTTATTTCCTTATTCATTCTGTTGCTTTTATTCATTTTATTGTATTGTTTAATATATTTATAATTAAAGTTATGAGTTAGGTTTATATTTTCCTCCATTTATCTCAAATTTTTTTTTCCAAATTAGGATTTTTTCCCCTTCTTTCTCTGTAAATACAATATTTTGTCTCTTCAATTATTTTGACTTATTTCATTTTAAGACAATTCTATTCCTACTATCTCTTTTCCTCTCACCAGTCCTCCCCCTCCCCCCAATTTGTTATTCCTTTCCTTAGTTTTGGCATTGCGCTTAACTTTTAGTTTCTTTTTATCTAGCTGTTTAATTCTTCCCCCTCAGTTACGTAGTCAAGTAAAATTCCCTTTCCTATCTTCACCTTTAACTTGCTTTGTTAGTTTAAAAATTGTCATTTTTGTGCCTTTTCCTAAAAAGGATTTCTTTCAATCATTCTCTTCATTTTTGTCTTCCCTTTCTGATTATTCTGGACTTTAATGATTTGATTCATGGCCCTTCTACTTATTAGTCTTTATTCTCTGCGTTACTCATGGAATTAAAGTTTCGTGGGCGCTTGTATTGGATCCCTCTTCTATATAGTTCCTATGTTATGGCCTCATAGATCTTGTCCTGTGGTCTCTTTTTGCTGTTGTGCTGCGCTCTTAAAAATAATAATTCCTGCAGGTGATAGGGAAGAAATTGCCCCATGGTGGAAATTTTCCTATGCACCTGGTTGTATAGTTTGTTATTAACCTTTGCCCTCTTTATGGTCATTTCCCTCCATTTGCCATAAAATCTCCTCCCTAGGCCCGTGCTCTCCTACTCTTCTGGGTGTCAGTTGCCACCTAGGAGCTCTGGTTCTCTTTCTGCTGAGGCAGGATGAGTGGTCTCTCTAAGTACTAAATTTCTGTAGGTTAGACCCATTGTAAGGCCCCCACCTTCCTTTACAGAATCTTTTTTTCCCCATGAGAGTATTCATCAGCAGTACCTCTTCCCACCCTAAAACACGATTTGGTCTTTTCTCCCGCCCTCTGCCTGCCTCTTCTCCCCCCTTTTTTCAATCTTTCTCTTTAGCTTTTTACCTATTCTCCTGAAGACTCTCTTCTTCCTGAGAGACTACAGGAGTTATGTTCCCTTAATTATAAACTTTTGCCTTGGATAGAGTACATCGTGTATTCCCTTCTATTTTCTTCCTTCCCTTTCCCCTTTTATGTGCCCTCTCATTCTGTGATTTAGTCTCATAACAATATTGTTGCAGCTGCAGGTGAGTTGTAAAGTTTAGTCCAGGATCTTTCAGGCTTGTTTCTTCACCATCATTTCTCTATAATTTCTGCTTTTATTCTTATCTTTTTGTGAGATTTTGGAAAGAAATCTCTTAATCATCTCTCTTATTGTTTTTGGTTGCTATATTTGTTTACCTTTCTAGTAATTCTATCATCTGAGAAAGTAACAGTTTGAAAAGCAAATAATTTGTTCAGCTCTGGTTTTCTTCCTAGGAATACTTTAAATGCTCCCTGCCCCATGTCAGTCTTTTTTTTTTTTTTGTTCATGCTTAAGTTCAGGTTTGCGGGTATGCAGAGTGTATCACCTTGATATATCATCTTGAGCTCTTTTGCTCTTTGAAATACATTACCCTCTTTTCTTCTTCAGTTTCTGGTAAGTGAAAAATAATCCTGTCTTACTAAAATTTTCTTTCCTTTATATCTGAATATCTGAATTTATTCTGATTGCTTGCAAAATTTGTTGTTTGTCATAGGAGTTTTTCAATTTAACCACTATGTGTCTTGGAGTTTGCAGCATAGATTTGTTTGTTTTTTCCTGGAGGCAATCTGTGGATTTTTTCAGTTGACACTTTGTTGTATGTGTTTAGAAGTGCTGGGCAGTTTTTTTGCATTAGGGCTTTCAGATTTTTTGACTTGTCGTATTTTTCTGGGAGAATTGTAATCGGTAAGTTGTCTCTATGCTTCCTGACTTTAAAATCAATTTTTGCTTCTATGGAGAGCATATTTTCTTTGAATGTTATTGCTTTTTGCTTCTTTTCTTCCAAATTGTGTTGCCCACAACCAGATAGTACACCTAACAGAAAGGTGTGAAATAAAATGTGAAGATGTGGGCCAGGCGGAGCAGTAGAACTGGCTCAGTTTATTCTTCTGAGGGTACAGGATATATAGAGAAAATCCTAACTTTAAAGAGTCCTCCCTGTGAGACACTCCCTGAAACATCTGCTAAGGATGTGATAACATACATTTCCTCCTTATCAGAGTTCCTAGATAGGGTTGTAAATTCCAAGGCTTTTTCCTGGGCTGTATAGAGGAGTGAATATGTAAATCTAAGGTTCAAAGAGTAAGAAGGAATGTCTCAGGAGCCTCCTAGCAGGGAGAGATTTGGAGAGCCCTGCTTCTTCATTTTTGAGCCCTTTGGGTTAAAGCCTGGGCAAAGGTCAAACTCTGTCCTGGATCTTAAACCCATATCAGACTCTTAAGAGTGGCCCTCAACAAAATTGTCCTTTATTTTTCTATATTTGCATT